CATGGAACAATCAAAATTATAGATACGTTGGAGACGTATCAGGGTTCGCGTCAAAGTGGATAAAGTGGATTATGGCCTGTGTTACTTAGTAAAATTTTCAGTACGCTTCAATGGACAGCTCTTGGAGTCATTCTCCCCGTCATATGGTATTAGGCAAGGGGATCCTCTCTCACCATACTTATTCTTATTTGTGGCCAAAGCTCTTTCCTTATTGTTACAGAATGCGTGTACTAGAGGATCGCTTCTGGAGTTCAAGGTTAATAGACAAGCCCCGGGTATATAACATCTCTTGTTTGTCGATGATTGTCTTTTATTTTTCAAGGGGTCCATTGAGCAAGCCTTGGCAATCAAAAATATTATTGCGACTTATGAGAAGGGCAATTGCTGAGCCCAAATAAATGCTCTATATTGTTTGGCAAGAATTATAGTATGGAGGTCCAGGTGGCTGTTATGGTAATTCTATGCATCACTTCGGAGGGTTTTGAGGATAAATATCTTGGGCTCCCGGTGCCACAAGGGAGAATGAAGGCTGGTAAATTTCAATCCACGAAGGAAAAAACCCTTAAAATTTTATCGGCTGGATAGAAAATAATGCCTCATGTGGGGCGAAAGAAAATTTAATTAAATCTGTCTTGCAGGCTCTTCTGGTGTACGCAATGGGTATTTTTAAATTTCCGGCATCACTATGTGAGGAGTTGTCTCAGATCATAAGGAATTTCTGGTGGGGTGATGAGGAGAATATGAGAAAGACTCATTGGCTGGCTTGGGATAAGATGACTAGGCCTAAAGGTGAGGGTGGTATGGGATTACGGGACCTCAGATTATTTAACCAGGCTCTCCTAGCTAAGCAGGCTTGGAGGTTAGTGGTTAATCATGAATCTCTATGAGCCAAAGTGATTAAGGCAAAATATTATCCACAGGGACATATCCTTGACACGGTTTTCATGCAGTCAGCTTCTCTTACTTGGCAAGGTATTCTGCATGGTTTGGATCTGCTTAAATCCAGAGTCATTTGGAGAGTGTGTGATGGGGCTAATATTAATATCTGGAGAGATAACTGGCTCCTAAGATCTCCTGGACTAAAAATTACTGCCAGAAATAATAGGACAAGAGTCAAATGGGTGTCAGACTTGATGCTGAGCGGTCCTAGGAGGTGGGATGGAAATTTGGTTAGGCATCTGTTTTATCCATATGATGCGGAGGAGATTTTGAGGTTGAGTATGCAATCAAATGGGGAGGGTGATTTTGTTGCTTGGCATTTTGAAAAAATAGGGACGTTCTCGATTAAAAGTGCGTACAAGCTTGCGCTTACCTTGAAGGATAAAAATGAGGATGAGGGTCAATGTAGTGAGGCTGTGTTGGGGGACAGGATAATCTGGGATGTCATCTGGAAGACTAATGTCCCTCAGAAGATTCGCAGTTTTTCATGGAGGGTTGCAACCAATGGCTTGGCTGTCCAGGTTAATAGAGTGGTGCATCACCAAACTACTGTTAGGATGTGCACTATTTGTGGGATGGAGGATGAAAGTACATTTCATGCGCTTGTCATGTGCCCAAAGGCGGTTGTGTTGCGGATGGCCATGGGGGACATTTGGAAGTTACCTATGGAGAACGTCTTCAGATATACATGGTATGGTTGGTTTATTGTTCTTCTAAGTCAACTGAGGCCAGTCATGCACGACCTTTTTATCTTTTGGAGAGTCTGGCACTTAAGAAATGACTTGATATTTGGTAAAGGAAAGGAATCAGTATCAGCTTATGCTAGCTTTGTGGGGAATTATTGCGCGTCTTTTGTCGCATGTCACTCTATGCCTCCGATGGACTCGAAAAATAAAGGAAAAGGTCCAATGGATGGATTAAGATGGGCACCTAATATTGCGGGAGCTAAGGCGGATTGGACTCCCCCACCGATTGGTTTTTAAAAAATTAATGTTGATGCAAGCTTTGTGGAGAGCATTAGAGAAGCAAGTGTGGGTGTGGTGGTTAGGAATGCGGCTGGGGAAGTCATTGTTTCTTCTTGGGACTTCAATGGGTCGTTCAGAGTGTGGAGGAAGCAAAGCTAAGGGCGTGCATTGCCGGTCTATACATAAGTACCCCTCTTCACAATCGCTTGCAATATTCTAGAGACTGATTGTGCGTTTGTTGTGGCATCCCTTGCAACAGAGAACCTTGATAGATCAACGTTGGTTGATTTGAAGAAGGAAGCACTGAGCTTATCCAAGATGATAAATACCTTTCAAATGGTTAAGATTAGTTGGTCCACCAATGTGGTGGCTCATCTAATAGCAAAGTTTAGTTTTGACAATAGATCCGATGGTATTCCTGGTAATGATGTACCGCTCTGTGTGGTGAATTTTGTATCGAACGATTGTAAGTTTTGCGATGGTTAATTAATGTAAGGTGGTGTTCAAAAAAACATACACACACTTTCATGAAACCTAGGTAGAACTGAATGAAATAAGTATGAACAAAGAATAACAGTGAAGATGAACCAAAGAAGAAAGTAATTTGGGAAAAAAGCACTGACCCCATGCATCCATATTGTGGAGGATGTGGTGATGGGGTGGAGGGTGACCTCCGAGTTGTTGAAGATGGAGCCTTGCGCCTCCAACTTGTGGCGCAGCAGCAAGTAGTTCACCAGGTTGCCGTTGTGCTCCACGGCGAGCTGGTCGAACCGGTGCTCGGCAAGGAATGGCAACACGTTGCACAGCTGGGCATCGCCACCGGAGGTGGACTAGCGGTGGCCTGGTCGTGGAGGCTATTGACGTGTGCCAGGTCCCTGAACACGTCGCTGACGAGACCCAGCCCCGTGATGGATTTGAGCTTGTCAAAGAATCAACTCAACTAAAAACTGCACTCAGGTTTATACAAGACCATATATGTGCAATGCATAGCTTTTTAATAAAGATATATACGGTATATTTTAGTGTTACAGTCAAAACATATTGAATTTCCCATAAATTTTCCTCCGTATCTACTTTCTTATACATTGCTCGTGCATGGGTCATCCTTCTTTTCTAAAAAAAATGGTCAAAAACCTAATGCTTGCTAATGTATGTATTCACCGGAAAAAAAACTATCTTGAATTTCTTCCACATGTTGAGTCAAAAATTAAAACCATCATCATTATTATCCAATTGAATTTCACCGCATGTCTGCATGAAGACAATAGTCATGGTTAAAGCATGTCAGTATAAAATTTGCACGATAATAGAACAAATGATCATAAATGTATGCAATATAAAGACAGATGGAACCCAAAAGGCAAAAGGCCCAAGCTTCAATGTACCAAATGAAATGGCAAATTACATAATTGTGTCAAGCTAAATTAACAACAACAATAATTGTTAGGTCATATAGCAAAAAAGCTAAAAACAAAACAGGTTATTACTTAATACTTTGCTACAATACCGAGTGACATGTCTAAACAGATGCAAGCTGCCAAATAGAGTCTTAGCTTAGCATGTCTTAGCACATACACCGCTATCAAAAAATAGCAAATGCATATACTTAGCATGTCTACACTCAACATATATCAGAGAAGAACAACCATGGTAAGTTGGGAATGCTGCCAAGCACACTCTATGTGCCCCAGCTGACCCAAACTCGCATGCAAAGGACGCAACTATAACCAGGCGTAGTGAAGCGCGCCATTCCGTCTAATTCTAATATCAATGGTTCACGCAAACAAAAAGAATACTCCTTCTGATCCTAAATATAAGTCTTGTAGAGATTGCAATACGGACTATGTATGAAGCAAAATGAATGAATATACACTAAAATATATCTATATGCATCCGTATGTAATTTCTTATTAAAATCTCTAAAGAAAACTTATATTTAAGAATGGAGGAAGTATAATAGCAACGGAGTTGAGTGGTTCATGAATCTAGAATTTCTTCAGAGAATTCTAGGTGGTCAAAGTTGATGCCAGAGATGCAATTCAAGAGCGAACCAAACTATGATGGGATGGTTAGGAGGACAGTGGTATCCTAGCCCACCGGAATTAAAGTCATGGGGCTCGCATTTTCCTGTGTTTATTTTAGGATTTCTGCCGACGCGCGTTTAGTAGGAGGAGATGTTCCCGTCAACTACGAGGAGCCTATGGTAACTTCGTAAATCTCAAGATGATATGCCAGCTCAGGCTCTCGTAGGTGCTCATAGTGGTAGGGTCATAATTTAAAAGACAGGACCGGGCCGGCGGCCAGACCGGGGCCTCAACGGTTTTTAAGCTAATAAGACCGTTCTGCAATTGAACGGGAGAAAACCAGTTAAACCGGCCGGTTTTTTGAAAACCGATGAATAAATCGAGCATATGAACCAGAAAAATGATTAATGCAAAAGTTGGGAGATGTGGGATTTGATCCCAAGACACATGGAGTAAAAATTGCATGCTCATGGCCCAATAACCAACTGGGTCATACCAATTTGTGGTCCATTGTAAGAAAGTATCTTTACTTGACCATTGTCTAACACTATATTAGCATATAGAAATATTTCTAAACAAATATTATTTTGTGTAAAAATGCGAACAACGTACCGATGAACCGGTGGTTCAACCAGTAAAAAGTAGAACCAACGGGCTCACCGGTTTGATCTCCGGTTCAGTTTTTAAAATTACGGGCAGAAAATGTGTATGTGTCCATAGGGATAGGTGTATGCACATATATACAAGCGTTTGTGTCTGTACCATGTTAAAAAAATGAGAAACTTTTTTTAGCTTCTGAATAATGCTTTTTTAAGGTATAATAAGAAAGAAGTTCCGTGTAGTCTCGCTGACGTGTGGGTGCCGGCGACGTGGGGAAGAATTGATGGGTGGCGTGACCGTGTGAGCACACGCGTGACCTTTGCGGCAGGTCAACGTCGCCCCTGGCTTTATCATTCGTACTACCAATTCACAAAATGTGGTGGTGGTGGCCTTCGCAGCGTTCACACCGCACCATACGCGCGTTCCCACTGCTGCCTCCATCCCAGCACCGCGGCATTGGCGACTTCGCTCGATGGATCCGCCGATGCCGATGTCCCTTGTGTTCCCGTCGATCGATCCGCCCAAGCCGGCGGCCGTCCTCTCCATGGATCTCCTGCTGGAGGAGGCTCTCCGGGCCATGGCGCGCGCGGCGGAGCAGTTCCGCTCCCTGGGCGAGAAGCAGGCCAAGCGCCTCATGGTCGCCGGCGCCGGGGGCGGCAAGCTGCGGGAGGTGGTGACCCAGCTGGAGCAGGTCCGCGACCTGCTCGGGGGCGTCGACGACGGGAGCAGCTCTCCGGCGGCGGCGGAGTCCTTCTACGGCATCGACGACCTGCTTGATGAGATGGAGTACCACAGGATCGCCTTCCACCTCGAAGCCTCTCCAAATACAAATCCAAAGGTCAGCAATCCCCTCGCTTCTGCCCTCAGGCTGGGCAGGCGATTCCTTAGCAGCAGCAGCATCAGCAGCGATGGGCAGGCGTCCCGCTCCCGGTGGTTCCTCAAGGACCTGGATTCCGTCGCGACCAGTTTGGCCTCTCTGCTCAACCAAGTCCGAGGGTCCAGTCTGCCGCTTGCCATCTCCGATGCGCCGCCCCAGGACAACAAGGTGTTTGGCCGCACCAGGGAGCTCAATGACATTGTGCAGATGCTGACAGAGCCGATGTCATCCCACCAGCCTACCCTCAAGGTCATCTCCATTGTTGGCTTCGCCGGTCTGGGCAAGACCACGCTCGCCCAGTCGGTCTACGATCACATCCGAGTACAGCGCCACTTTGATCTCACGGCATGGGCACATGTCTCCGCCAAGCCTGACAGACTGGAACTAGCAAATCAGATACTGCGTTCGGCCAGCCCAGTCTACCGTGGATCCATTGACAAAGATGCCACCTTCGGAGCTCTTCAGTCGCAACTCACTCAACTTCTGGCATCCAAGAGATTTCTGCTTGTTCTCGATGATGTGTGGGATGTGCCCCAAGATACATGGCAAGAACTCCTCATTCCTCTTAAATCTGCCCAAAGTGGGAGCAGAATTATTGTGACCACCAGAACACCAAAGGTTGCTGACATGCTCGGTGCATCTCACACCTACCACCTGAATCCACTGGGCATCGAAGATTGTTGGTCCTTGTTCCACCGATATGCTTTTGGGGGCTGGAGCACACATGATTCCAGTGATGAACTGGAGCAGATTGGGAGGGTGATTGTTGCTAAAGTCCACGGATTGCCTTTGGCTGTCAAGGTGCTGGCAGGACTGCTTGGAGCTACAAAGAGCACTAAGTACTGGCGTATTATCTCGGAAAAACAATTTTCCGGAGATGCCACTCTCTCCTCGCTGCGTTTGAGCTACAGTTACCTGCCAGGACGACTCAAGCAATGCTTTGCATTCTGCAGCATATTTCCCAGGAACTGGAAGTTTGACCAAAGAACCATGATCCGCCTTTGGATGGCCAATGGTTTTATACAGTCCCAAACCGACACTGGTAAAAGGATGGAGGATCTGGGCACAGATTATTTCAATGCTCTCCTATCTCGGTCATTCTTCCAAACTCTTAGGCAGGGCCCTCGCACACACTGTATCATGCATGACCTGATCCATGATCTTGCAGTGTCAGTTTCAACCAATGATTGCTTTCAAATTGAGCCTGGCATGACCCGTTCTATCCCCTCAACGGTGCGCCATATCTCGGTCACGACGGATGGCGTACAAGACATCAATGCTGCCATCAACATGCTACCGAAAAAGCTGCGCACCTTGTTAGTTCTGAGAACTCGTTCTTTCTCCTCATATTGTCTTCAAGGAGACTTCTTAGCAAAGCTCAAGACTTTGCGGGTGCTTGATATTAGCCACTCTGACTACACTGAATTGCCAAGGTCCATTTCCTGCTTAATCCATCTCCGTTACCTGTCCCTGTGTCGCACCATTCGGAGTCTTCCAGAGTCGACAAGCAAGCTGCTCCATCTACAAACGTTGCACTTTACAGACAGGTGTTCCCTTGATAAGCTTCCAGTAGGAATAAGTAGGCTTGTAAAGTTGCGGCACCTTGGAATCGACATGAAGTACATTGCACAGGTGCCATGCATTGGTCGGCTTATTAATCTGCAGGGATCTGTTGAGTTCTGTGTTAAAAAGGGGGGAGGGCATGCCTTGCAGGAGCTGAATGGCATAAACGGTCTCCATGGCCAACTAAAAATTAAAGGCCTTGACAATGTTTTGAGCAAGGATGAAGCCACCAAGACCAACATGAAAAGAAAAGAGAATCTCAGGGCGCTGAGACTGGAATGGAGTTCAGCTAGTAGAATTCGCACCCCTGTGACTGACTATCAAGTACTAGAAAACCTACAGCCACATCAAAACTTGAAGGAACTTCACATTGTGAGGTATCTTGGTGCAACAGCTCCGAGTTGGTTACAGTATGCTGCGCTGAGGGAGCTGCAATCCTTGCACCTTGTTAATTGCAGGAGCTTGGGCGTTCTACCTCCACTGGGGCTCCTGCCGTCACTCCAACAATTACACATGAAGGAGCTGTGCACAGTTAAACGAATTGGACATGAGTTCTATGGTACAGTTGACTTGTCATTTCCATCCCTGAAGGTTCTTGTGTTTGATGACTTTCCCAGCTTGGTTGAGTGGTCTGAAGTGAGGGCCGATCCATTTCCTTGTCTGCAGAAGCTAGAGATTGTAGACTGCCCAAAGTTGATTCAAGTTCCTGCATTTCCCCCATCTGTCTCTGAACTTACAGTGGAGCGAACATTGTTGATATCCAATATGAGGCTTGCTCCATATTCTTCGTCAAGATTAGAGATACTCACACTGAGTGTTTCCACAACTAGTGTACTTTGCAGGGGACTATTCCATCAAAGCCATCTAGAATCTATTGTGGTTTTAAACATAAACGCTGGCTGCAAGCAGCTTGTTTCTGCTGAGGGACTGCACACCTTTACGTCTCTCCAAAAGCTTCAGCTGTGCCACTCTGACATATCAGATCAGAATTTGGGAAGTCTTCTTCAGGTGCTGCCCTCTTTGTGCTCAGTTGAGATGATAGATCTGCCCAACATGACATCTCTTCTGGTGCCAACAAAAAATAATTTGTGTACTACCGTCACGGAGTTGCAAATATCAAACTGTCCACAGCTCTCTTCTATAGTCTCCTTGGGTACTTTTGTTTCACTGAAACGTTTGGTGATTGAGAAATGCCCCAAACTGACGGCAGCATCCTTCCCAGTAAGTTTTTGGAGACTCACAGCCCTCAAGGTTCTGAGTATATCATACTGCACAGAGTTCCAGTCCTTACCTAGTTGTGGTCTGCCAACCTCAATAGAAGCACTTCATCTCGTTGGGTGTCACCCAAAGCTGCATGAAAATTCAAGCAACAGGACTGTCAATTCCTGAGAGAAGATTTCTACTCTACACAAAACATTGATGGCAAAATTCATGTTTTATGTTTGCACCCGTTTCTTTCGTTCTTACTACTTCCAGTGGGTATTTTTCAGTTTATTTTGTAATTGTGCCGCTATGTGTTAGCTGTAAATACCGATCTGTGATCTTGATTCTGATAATTTGTTACCTGTACTTCTATCATGGTTCAGATTAGTACCCACCCTTATTGTTTTGTCGAGATGTGGAAATCAAAGTATGTTTTCCTTCTTCCTTGAGTTTCTGTGTGGAAATCCTTTTCACTGTGGACGAGAATTCTTATCGCTTTGTTGAAAAACTATTCTTACCGCTTTCAGTTGTACACATGACCATGCTGGCACTCTTGCAAGGAGAAGAACACTATTGAAGGGTTGTTGCATTTGTACCATGATTTCTTTTAACCAATTCATGCATCTCCATTATGCATGCTCATACAATGATGCTCCTTCCATTCCACAATGTAGTGTGTATAGACTTTTTGAGAAGTCAAAATTTGCGAACCTTGACCAGGTTTGTAGAGAAAAATATTTATATCTACACTACCAAATATATAAAATATGAAACTATGTCTTATGATAAATCTAATGATATATGCTCAGTATTCTAGATGTAAATGTTTTTCTCTATAAACTTGGTCAAAGTTTGTGACGTTTGAATTTTTGAAAAATTTACATGCACCAAGGGAGTACAAGGTATCCTTTCTTTTCTGAAACCGAGGCAAAAGGCACAACAACTTAGCCCATCAAAGGGAATTACAAAATGGATTACTCTCGCGGTATGATATGATCTTGCTTAGGTGCGTAGCTCCTGCGGTGACCCAAAGCTTGGCCTCTTCTTGGATAAGTTTTAGGATATAGAAAGGCAGCGTTAATTTAAAACTCTAGCATTCCTCTCATTCCAGATGATACATGCCGGTCCACCACCTCTTGACGTTTTGCTCGGCACCCCATTGGTTCATCTCAAGTATATTTCTGTCATGGGTACCCGCATCAATATATCAGAAAATTGAGTCTCTAATGTCTCGTATGGTTTTTAAGTGAAAGAGAGGCCTCCCTCTCAGATTTTTCATATAATGAAAGCAACTAGTCTTGTTCGAACAACATCACCCCGCGAACAACTGCGGCCGCTGTCGTTGCAGAAATGGGCACCACAGATCAGGGACTTATTGGACACAAGGCAGCGCGGTGATAATACATAGCTCTAAAAATATCGTTAGAATGAAGCTAAGTCATTCATTCACCTATGTTAAGATTGTGATTTGTCGACGTGGAACAATGGTATCAGAAGCAGTCAAGCAGCATATGCCTATATGGTGCGAGGGGCTCGTGCTACTTTTGTGTGCGACCGACTTGATGCTACCCTTCGGGATGCCGGGATGTATTTCAGGCGTAGTGTTCCCCTGCTTCAACTCAGCCAAAGTTCAGACAGGTCCTAACCGCCCACTGGCGGTTCAGAACACACAAAGCCCTAACAGCCCACACGGTCAAAGTTGCATTATTGATTTCCACTTTTGAATCATGCGATTTCAGAATTCTGTGGTTGCTCTTGAGCGGTATGTTACGTTTTAACATGGGGGGTACTATTATTTTGTCCACTTCATCTCGTACACAATGTGTCAGTCTCTATCGTGTCGTTCGATTTAATAATTGGAGGAGTATTATGCATGACTATTAGATTTAGTTCAGATCCTTTAGGCCTCGTTTGACGGACGGGGATTGAGGGGGGTTTCACAGGATTAACCCCGCGGGGCCGAGAAACCTCCCTAATCCCCGAGGGCCCATTTGTTTCTCAGGTTTTGCATTGCCCAATCCCTTCCACCCCCCTTCGATCCCCTTCTATCCACGCGTCTCGCAACCCTCGAGGGCACAGGCAGGGAACACAAGGAACGCGAGGCCGTCACCGAGAGGAGTGCCCCACCGCCGGATCTTCACCGCCCCGTCGTCGCCAAAGCGTCGACGTCCTCCTCCGCCTGCTCTTCCCGAGGT